CCCAAGCCACTCCAGCATTACCAATATGGCCCCCAAAACAAAATATTCAGGGACAAAAAGGACTCTGGACTATAACTTAACTCATTAAATAAAATGGGAAAATAAGAGCTGACACTCATTGGTGAATAAATGACTTGAGCAAGTGTAAAGAGGGAGCCAGAGAGGTAACACTGCAGGTAAGGCTCTTTGCACGTGACTGACCAGGGTTCTCTCCCTGGCACCCCACATATTTCCCCAAGGCTGCCAGGAATTACCTCTGAGCACAGAACCTGGAATAAACCCTGAGCAGTGACCAGAGTGGCCAAAACCAAAAATTTTTTTTTAAAAAATGTAATTCACAGGATATTTATGTGTCTTCAATTATCAACCTACAAAATACTTATTACTATAAAGCTATCAGTTAGGCTTTTATGACAAGTTACCTCCAAAGTCAGTGGTATTTTGGTTGTGGTGGCTTTTTCTATTTATTTCTTTTGGGGCACAGCCTGTAATGCAGTGGGTGGGGCTGGGTGGAGCTATTCCTATGTGGTGCCTAGGGTGAGGTGTCATTTTTAGGATATCTGTGTGCAAAAGCAAGCACACCAGCCTGTGAGATATCTCTCCAGTCCATAACCCAGCCCATGTTCTCCAGCCCATGGCTGTGAAGTTTGAAAATAGTGTCAAGGTCATGAGAAGAAAGAGAAGTTCTCCCAGACTGCACACCAAGTGCAGCAGTGGTGCTGAACTGAATTTTATGGTTGAAGAACATTATTGAGGTAATTAATGAAATGTAAGTTTGGTGCCTGAAGATTAAATAGTAGGAATACACCAAAATTAATTTTTTTAATTTATAAAAGAGGACAAAAAGAAAATAATATAGGAAAGTCTTAAGTAAAATTTAAAAATTATTTTCTTTGTGCTTTGGGGCCACACCTGGCAATGCTCAGGACTTACTCCTTGTTCTGCACTCAGGAGTTATTCCATATGGGATCCCGGGGATCACCTACTGCACTATCTCTGGAGCCCCTTAAACAAAAATTTTAAGGGTGTCCTCGGGGCTGGAGCAATAGCACAGCGGGTAGGGTGTTTGCCTTGCATGCGGCCAACCCGGGTTTGATTCCCAGCATCCCATATGGTCTCCTGAGCACAGCCAGGGGTGATTCCTGAGTGCAGAGCCAAGAGTAACCCCTGTGCATCGCCAAGTGTGACCCAAAAAGCCAAAAAAGCCAAAAAAAAAAAAGTGTTCTTTACCATGGATTCCAGACTGTGACTCGTTCCTTTATTGGTGTACCCATACCATGAGGGATTAAGTTCAGAACTTCCTGCTTGGTCTTCTTCTAAGCCTGTGAGCCATCTCCTAACCCCCATTCTCTCTAGGAATCTTTTAACAGAGCAGGTAACAAGATTATCTCTGAACCTGCCAGTGGTACCAGGGTTTGAACTGTAGTCTTGCACTTGTTCACAAGCACTTTACTCCATTGAGACCCAGTCTTCTAGGCCCCAACATTAATTTCTTTACTTTAGGTTAAAGTATGTAGGAGAATGTCAGATAGTACAGCTGGTAAGACACTTGCCTTTATACTTTGAATCCCTGGCATCCATACGGTTCCATGAGCTGGTCAGGAGTAATTCCTGAGTACAGAGCCAGGAGTAAGCCCTGAGAGCTGCTGGGTATGGCCCAAAAACCAAAAAGAAAAATTATTTCACAAATGATCCAGGAAAACGAGTTCTTTGAACTGTGTTTAAAACTTTTCTCTAAGGTTATGTTATTTCACAAATTAAAAAAAATACACAAAGGGAAGCAAATTTTTAAAACGTATTATCTGACATTCTTGTGAGAATATGCATATCTTTCAACTGTGGCACTCTTTTTTTTTCTTGAAGTGGTTGTACCAATTTGCATTTATACCGAGGCGAATGTGTATTTCTCTTACTATATATAACCCTGATAGTATTTGTTTTTGCCATTTTTCAGTTTTAACCTTTCTGGTGTGTGCTCAGTGGTATCTTCCTGGATTTTTGTTTGTTTGGGGTTTTGACCCATAACTGCCATGCTCAAGAGCTGCTCCTGACTTTATGCTTCAGATCCCTTGTTTCTTTTTGGGAGACCATATCATTCCAGGGACTGAACTGGCACTCTAGTCATTGAAATATCTCTGGCCTTTTGTTAGGGTTGGTTGGTTTGCTGTTTTGGGCCCACACCCTGCATTGCTCAGGGGTTACTCCTGGCTTTGCACTTAGGAATCACTCCTGGAGGTACTCAGAGGACTATATGGAGTGCTGGAGATTGAACCCTGGTTGGCTGCATGCAAGGCAAATGCCCTATTCGCTGTACTGTTACTCCAGACCTACTCCAGCCCTTTTATTAGGCTTTTGATTTGTTTCTCTTTGAATAATGAACACTTTTTTATGTTTATTGTTTCAATTATGTTTATTATGTTTCCCAGTTTCAGTTTTTGTACTGTCTTTCCACTTTCTGTTTTAGTATTCTATTCTCTATCATCATTGATTTCTGAGAATAGGCTATGTTGTAATATATCTTGACTTCCTTTTTTATTCTCTTCATAGTACATTTTGATAAGCAGAAAAAAAATTTTTTTTTACCACATCTGTAGGTCCTCTGGGATGAGTCCTGGCTCTGGCTCTGTCTCTGTATTCAGGAATTACTCCCGGTGCTGCTTGGGAAACTGTGAGGAATACCAGGAATCGAACCTGGGTTGGCCGCATGCAATGCATGCACTCCACCCCCTGTACTATCTAGCTCCAGAAATTCTTAATTTTAGTTCAGTTTATTGATCTTTTCTTTTTTGTGTGTCTTGGGTTTTGTTTTAAAATAATTTCTAATTTAAGGTCCAGCTCAAGCATGGAGTCAAGTGTAGCCTCTGAGCCCTGCCAGGTGTGACTCTCCCAAATAATAATTCAAATATGTGTATTTTTAAATTTTGTTTATTTTGGCTTTGGTCCATACCTAGTGGTGCTCTGGGCTTACCTCTGGCTTTGTGCTCAGGGATTGCTCTTGGGGTGCCAAGGATGGAACCTAGATTGGCCATATGCAAGGCAAGCACTCTGGCCCATGTGTCTTTTTTTTTTTTTTGCTTTTTGGGTCATACCCAGCGATGCACAGGGGTTACTCCTGGCTCTTCACTCAGGAATTACTCCTGGTGGTGCTCGGGGGACCAAATGGGATGCTGGGAATCGAATCCGGGTCAGTCACATGCAAGGCAAACGCCCTACCTGCTGTACTATCGCTCCAGCCCCATGTGTCATTTTTTTTAAATACCATCTTCTAAAAAGCGCATTGGTTAGCCAAATCTGTTTTCCATATGGTGGACAGTGAAATTTTTTTTTTCTGCATTACATTTGTCTTTGTGTCATTTATACTCTGTTCATCTTACCATTATTACATAGTGCCATAAATGTTACAAATTGTGCATATATATATGTATACTGGTGTATATCTGGGCATCTGTTCTCTTCCACTGATTCACTTGATTGGTTATTTCTTTTTGTTTCCTCTGGTGCTGGGGATCAAACCCAGGATCTCATACAAGCAAAATATTTGCTTTGCCACTTTCCTGCCTTGTTGGGACAGGTAAACAAATTTGTTGGTTAGTAGACAGTGTAGTATCAGGGATCAAATAAGGGATCAAACCCAGGCCTAACATACTCAAAGCTAGTATATTAGTTCTTTGAACTATACCTCCACCCCCAACTTGCTTATTCTTTACCTTAGTTCTCTAATGCCTCAGCAAATTGTTTTCAGTCTTTCCTAGTTCTGAACCAGAGAGTTAGTTGATCTGATTTACCTCAACTGCCTGTGGGTTGGGAGGGAGAGGGCTGTCAAGGATGAACCCGGGCGTCAGTCATTGAGGTGTGCACTCCACCACTTCGCTACATCCCTGGCCTAAGGAACCACATTTGAATTCAGTCTATATTCAAAACACATACCCTTTTTCTTTCTTCCTTTTGCTTTTGGGCCACATTCAGAGGTGCTAGGGGCTGTTCCCAGTTCAGTACTCAGGAAACTAAGCTGTGCTGGGGATTGACCCCGAGCTTCACAGGAGCATGCAAAACCTGCATGTGCTCAGCTGGTGTTCGGTTCCTTGAGCTGTCTCTGGCCCCAAGGTGTCTCTGGCTCTTAAGCACTTAAGTGTTCACTATCAAAATATAAAATCACTTTTTTATTTGATCCTTAAGAATAAACATAGGGCCGGAGCGATAGTACAGTGGGTAAGGCATTTGCTTTGCACGCAGCTGACCTGGGTTTGATCCCCGGCTTCCCTGGGTTCAATCCCCGGCTTCCCATATGGTCCCCCAGAACCGCCAGGAGTGATTCCCTAGTGCAGAGCCAGGAGTAACCCCAGAGCATTACTGGGTGTGGCCCAAAAAGCAAAAAAAAAAAAAAAAAAAAAAAAAGAATGAACATAATTTTTCTGTAGAATAAACATAGGGCTGGAGCGATAGCACAGCAGGTAGGGTGTTTGCCATTTGCCTTACACATGGCTGACCCAGGTTCAATTCCTCTGCCCCTCTCTGAGAGCCTGGCAAGCTACCGAGAGTATCTCGCCCACACGGCAAAGCCTGGCAAGCTACCTGTGACGTGTTCGATATGCCAAACACAGGAACAACAGGTCTCACAATGGAGACGTTACCAGGCTGCTCAAGCAAATCGATGAACAACAGAGGACAGTGACAGTGTGACAGTGATGCTTATCAGAGCAGAAAATGTTGAGTCAAAAAAAAAATTTGTTTTTTTTTTGGTCAGGGTCCTTCCAAGCAGTGCTCAGGGCTCCAAGGGCTCCTTTGCATTTGGCTTGGCTTGTCTGTATGCCCAATGATTCTGTCTATGCTTAGCCTAGCAGTGCTGAGGGCCACCAGGCAATTTCAGTAGTTCTGGGTGGTCATGCATTGTCAGGGATTGAACATGGGCCCTATTGTATGCAAGACAGCTGCTTTAGCTCTTTGAGCTATCTCTCTGAATGTTAAGTCTATATTCTCTTTTTTTTCTTTTTGCTCTGTAGTGAAGCAAATAAGCAACACGTAAGATGTCAGAAATGCTTAGAATTTGGACATTGGACTTATGAATGCACAGGGAAAAGAAAATACCTGCATCGGCCTTCTAGAACAGCAGAACTAAAGAAAGCTTTAAAAGAAAGAGAAAACAGATTATTATTACAACAAAGGTAAGTGTTAACCATTTGGTATGCATAGGATGGATTTTTGTTTGCATTTGTGGAACTTAGGGACTAATAAATTTCTCATGATAGTTATCTAGAGTTAGGCTTTGGTACTAATGATTTTTTTTTTCTTTTTGGGTCACACCCAGAAGTGCACAGGGGTTACTCCTGGCTCATGCACTCAGGAATTACTCCTGGCAGTGGTCGGGAGACCATATAGGATGCTGGGAATCAAACCCGGGTTGGCCGCGTGCAAGGCAAATGCCCTACCTGCTGTGTTATCACTGCAGCCCCCGGTACTAATGATTTATAGGCCAACCACTGCAGAGGTGCTTGGGGACTACTCACACTGATGTTGGGGAATCATGTATGTTAGGTACAAAACCTGGACTCCCACACACAAAGCTCGTACTCCAGACCTTTGTGCCTGTCACGGGCCCTGGCATCAGCTCATTTTAGTATCACAGCTCTGCCATTCGGTAGTATAGTTACTACTTATTATCTTCACCTTACATACGAAGTTTCTGGGGCACTAGAAGGTTCACTAACTTGCTTGGTGTTATACAACTAGTAAGTGGGGAAACCTAAGTGTTAAATTAGCATATTTCCAACATTCTTTTTGTTTTTGTTTGTTTCTTTTTTTGGGTCACAACATGGGCCATGCTCAGGATTTACTCCTGTCTCTGTGCTCAGGTATCATTCTTGGTGGGATATGGGGACCTTATGGGATGCCTAGGATTGAACCCAGGTTGGGCACATGCAAGGAATATGCTCTACCCCCACTGTACTATTGTTCTAACCCCAAAAAGAAATGGCTATTTTGAATTAAATTCTTGTTTTTCTTTTTACATGAGTTTGCCATACTATGACTCTAGAAACTAAAATTACAAGTTAAAATTGTGCTATTAATTGCTAAATCTTTTTCTCAGTAAATAGTTTATGTACCATGTCAATCTAAATTCAGATCTAAAAAGTAATCAAATTGGTACATTCAGTTATTCTAGCTACAAACTTACCTAATTTCTTAACTATAAAATTTTATAATATAAGTTGATATAATCTGATATAATTGATATAATTTATTTTGCTTACATGTTGCTAAGTGTTATGCACTACCATAGTTAGGTTAAAATAGAAACTTTTCACTTGATCACAACTTAAAATACCATTCTGAGTATTTGTTCTAAAAGACAAAGTGTGGGGCTGGAGCGATAGCACAGTGGGTAGGGCGTTTGCCTTGCACACAGCCAACATAGCCGACACAGGTTCGATTCCCAGCATCCCATATGGTCCCCCGAGCACCGCCAGGAGCAATTCCTGAGAGCATGAGCCAGGAGTAACCCCTGAGCATCGCCAGGAGTGAGCCCCAATAAATAAATAAATAAATAAATAAAAGAGAAAGTGTCTGAACTAATGCGAAAGTACAGTGTGTAGATCACTTTGCCTTGCATGCAGCTGACCTAGTTCGATCCCTAGTGTCCTATATTGTTCTCTTGGCCCTGCAGTAGTGGTAGGGGTAGGATGCAGTGGGTAGGATGCTAAGGGGCAGAGCCAGACGTAAGCTCTGAGCACAGCCAGATACCTCCCCAAACCTCCCCACCCCTGAAAAAAACCCAAAAGGACAAAGTGTTTCTTCAATGTAAAATAAATTGTAGATAGCAAAAGGGTTTGTCTAAGGTGTTTATATGTTTAATTACTTTATTTAAAGCACTTTTTTTTCCTTCCCTCATGTTTATCAGCAATGGAGAAGCTAATGTAGAAAGAAAAAACAAGAAAAAAAGGTATGTGTGGCTGGCTTTCTTTCTTTCTTTCTTTTTTTCTTTCTTTCTTTCTTTCTTTCACAGTCATTTACAATACTGTTAATGATAGAGTTTCATTCACAACACAGTCCTTCTCCACACCCTCTTGCAGAGTGTCCATTTCCTTCCACCATTACTCCAGTTTCTGTTGCCTTTAGGCACTTGTTTTTTCCCTCTGTTCCATTATATCCTGCATATGAGAAACCATTCTGTGTCTCTCCCTCTCCCTCTCATTAACTTTATTCAGCATGATAAGCAGCAAATTTAATTATTTCATCTTTTCTTAGTGTGTATGACTTTAGGATTGCTATATAAGTTACATATATATTATTACATCATATATATTAAAGTTGGAGGGATAGATAAGTGATTTAAAATAACAATAGTAAGATTTGAAGCTGAAGTCTTTTGTTTACAATTATCTTTAAATGTCACCATATTTTCTTTACTGGTCTATGGTCATTTCTCCTTTTTCTCCAACTTGTCAGAGTCCTCTTCCTATAAATAAATAATTTTTCTTGACTTTGCATAGAAAATGTTACTTGTAAGAAATTATTGGTAACAGCTGTATTTAGTCTAAAGTAAGATGAAAAAATGTCCACCACAGTACATGGTATTTATGGGGAGGATGATTTGGGTCACATATTTTGGTACTCAGGGACTCCTCCTGGCTCTGTGCTTGGGTCACTCCTGACAGTGCTCAAGGGAACTGCAGCCAGGGATCAAACCAGGATCAGCTGCGTGCAAGAGGGTCTTAATCCAGAAACTATCTCCCCAGCCCCTCTACATGATTTTGAAATAAACCAAATTGTTACACTGTACTTTTTTGTTTTGTTTTTATTTTTTGTTTTTGGCCCATATCCAGTGATGCACTAGAGTTACTCCTGGCTCTGCACTCAGGAATTACTCTTGGCTATGCTCAGGAGACCACATGTTGGCCAGCGCAAGCATCCTACCCACTGCACTATTGTTCCAGCTCTACACTTCTAGCATTACTCACTTGAACATAATATAATGTGCATGCCTTCTTTTGTTTCTTTTAAATTGAGGTCCCATTAGTATACATCATTGTGAGGATACATTTATCTTAAACTCTTGAGAGTTAAGTTGCCCAAGTAAAAGACTTTTGTAAGGGGAATAGAGGGAAGGAGGGGGAGGGCACACTGGGATCCCTGCATTTTGGCTGTTTTAACAAAAGCATCACAGCTAGGAATGACACGCCGGAAAAGCATCATTATAGACACAGGTACACTCTTCACATGAAATTACCTCAGCATTGTGCTGCATGTTCACTGAGCGACTCTCTGCTTCTCGTCTAACAGGTCTAAGAGTATCACCAGTTCCAGTAGCAGCAGCAGTGACAGTTCCGCTGACTCTTCATCAGAGAGTGAAGAATCGTCTACCTCATCATCCTCCGAGGACAGTGACACTGAGGAGAGCTCTTCCAGTTCATCCTCCTCATCCTCCTCCAGCAGCTCTTCCTCCTCCTCAGATTCAGACTCAGATTCCAGCTCTTCCAGCAGCAGCAGCACCAGCACAGAGAGCAGCTCGGACGATGAGCCCGCAAAGAAGAAGAAAAAGAAATAAGCGGAGGCAGCCATACTGGATGGATGGACTAACAATAACGTGACTCTCAGAAGGGAACTGAGAAGTCATTAGACCAAATAGATTCACTTGTCGAAATTTCTAGAATTCAAGTTTTTACATATTTTACATTGTAAGAGCATAAAAAGTAATAATAATGCATTATATATGTATATATACATGTATTCCTAAAAGACCTTATTTTAAGGGTGAATCTTCTTTTTTTTTTTAAATCTCTTGAACTTAATCAGAGCTGAAGTCCAGTAAATCTGTTTCATGAAGAAATTTGTTATCTTTTCTCCTAGTGAAATGAATAAATGCCGTACTTTGTATGTTTTCAGGATAATGTGTTCAGACTATCTGGCAGTGAGTGAATTTCTAATGCTTTTGGCTCGGTGTTACTATGTAATATTTAATACGTTGTACTATAAGCTTAGGTGTTTTCCTACTGTTAATAAATGTGCTTTATTTTTATGTTTATGTTCATAGAATTATTTTGATTTCTTGTCCTAAATGAAAAACTCAAGAACCTCTCTGCTTTTTGGATGATACATATTTCAGGTTGCTGTGTTTTATCATTCATTTTCTTCCAGTTTTTATAGTTAGCATTTTCAGAGGAAAATTATTCTGGTGCAACCTAAAAAGGAAAAAAGAAGTCAAACTATTTAGAAGTCTAATCTTAGTACATTTCAATATTCACTATATCAAAAAATAAAGATTTTGGGGCTGGAACTATAGTACAACGGATAGGGTGTTGCTTTGCAGATGGCCAACCAGGGTTCAATCCTAAGCATCCTATTTGGTCCACATCACCAGGAGGAATTCCTGAGCACAGAGCCAGGGGTTAGCCTTGAGCACCGCTGGGTGTGGCTCCAAAACAAAACAAAAATAGAAAAGAAAGTGATGTAAAAGGCTAACAGCAGGGACCAGTGAGATAGTGAAGCAGGTATGATGCAGAGTACAGGAGTATGCCCTGAGCACTACTAGGCATGACTCAAAAATGAAATATTTATTTTAGGAGTTAGATAATACAGTGGGTAAGGCACTCGCATTGCAGTCAGCTGCCCTGAGTTCAATCCCCAGCATTCCATATGGTCCCCTTAGCACCACCAAGAGTGATCTGTGAGTGCAGATCAAAAATAATCCCTGAGCATCACCAGGCATGACCCAAAAATCAAGAGAATTTTTTTTTTAAAGAGTGAGGGGGCTGGAGAGATGGAGAGGTAGCAGCTCAAAGCACATGCTTTGCTTTCAAGAAACCTTGGTTGGAGTGATAGCACAGAGGGTCGGGTATTTGGCATGCACGCAGCCAATCAGGGTTCGATTCCCAGCATCCCATATGGTCCCCTGCGCACCACCAGGAGTAATTCCTGAGTGCAGAACCAGGAGTAACCCCTGTGCATCGCTGGGTGTGATGATGTGACAAAAAGAAAAAAAAACCTGGATTCAGTCCCCAGTACCACATGGCCCCCTGAGCACCACTGGGATGACTCCCTCTTCCCACTCCCCAGAAGCATACCTCAAAAAATGTCCAGGTGGGATATTAGGGAAGGATGTAGCTCACTAAAAGCACAACAGTTGCATGGGATGAGACCTTAGGTTTAACCTGGCACTGCCCCACATAACTAAGTGCAATCCTGACACTGCAGCAAAATGCAAACACACACACGCACACACACACACACACACACACACACACACACACACACACACACAGAGGGACAGAGAGCGACAACTACAGAGAGCATGATCAATGGCAAAGAAAAGACTAATATTCAGATTCTCCCCAACCTACCTGAAAGCAGAGCTGTGCATTGAGTCTCTGGGAAATGTAATTTTTTTTTTGGAAGGGTTGAACAGTTTAGGCCATACCCTGCAATGCTCCAGGCTTTCTCCTGATTCTGCCCAGAGATCACTCCTGGCCATGCTCAAGGTTAATACTGGAAATTGAACCGGGGTTGGCTGCATGCAAGGTATGTGCCTTACCTATGTATTCTCTCTCTGGCCCTTTAGCAGATGTGTATTTCTCAGTCACAATCATATCAGAATGAGTCATTGGGTCAGGTAGGTGGCTTGAAGGGCTAAAGTGCAGGCTTTGCATGCAGGAAACCCAGATTTGATCCCCAGCATTGCAAGATCTCCTGAGGCACCAGTAGGGGTGATCCTTAAGCAACTTGCTGGGAGTAGCCTCTGTGCACCACAGGGTGTGGGCCCCCCCCCCAGAAAAATTCCCTAGATCATGGAATTTTCATTCCAGAAACTCAGAAACTAGTATTATGGGATTTTGACCCAACCAGACTGGGACAAACACATAAACCAATTTTTATTTCAGGCCCAGGCCAGGACCAGACAAACTTGAGCAAGTGCTGTGTGGGTCTGGGCCCAGAACAAAAGTGAGAGAACTCAATCTGACAGAGTAGGGGGATGTAGCATTTGGAGGCTGCAAGGAAGGGAGAGTAGAGAAGTAGAAATTCCTGATGTATTTACTTGCTTAGCAGGGACACTCTGTGCCCATTCTGTGGTCATAAGGCAGAGAACTATCTAAAGGACACCCATGCACATCTCACAGTCTCTTGCTGGCAGCTTTTCAGTTCTCTGGCTGCTCAGGTGTTCATGATGAAAGCAGGGGGAAACAGGGTCTAGGTCCCTGACCCTCAGGGGAACAGGGGTTTATTTTCCTCATCTACAATGTGCAATATCGTAATTTTGTACGAGAATCAAAATATGGCACCAGGTCACAAGTTATGGAAGAAAGTACAAGTAAGGTATAACTAATGGCTGTATTTGTCTTTCAACTATTTCAACTGATTGTAAATTTATAAAAAAAAATTGTAAATTGAGCTGGAGATATGACTCAAGTCATAGAGCAGAGGCCTGGCAAAAAGAATGCCCCGAGTATGATCTGGCACTACATAACCTCTCCCAGCGCTGCTGGGTGGCCTCTGGAGAACTGCCATGAGTGGAACCTATTAAGTAATTTAAATTAAATATAGAAAATAAGTGTTTTTAAACCTCATTAGAAAATTTACAGCACCAGATTTTAATATCCCCCAAAATCCAAGACATACTTAAGAATGAAAAAACATAAAAAAAAAAAAACTGGTCAGAGAGAGAGCTCCATGTGCTAGAACACAGGCTCTGCTTGCTGGAGGTCCAGATTCAGTCCTTGGCACTGCCAGGAGCAACCCCAAGCACAGGCAGGAACTAGTTCCTGAAAACTGCATGTGGCTCCCAAACCAAACCAACCCCACAGAGCTGCTAGGTGACTCCTTTTTTCCTTTTGTGATACAAGAGATCCAATCCAGGGCTTTATACATGCAAAGCCTGTGCTCTCCCACTGAGGTATAATCAACCCTATGTGAGCACTTCCCCGTTGTGTCATACACTTGATAAAAATGACTCCTTTTTTTTTTCTTTTTTGTGTCACACCCGGCTATGCTCAGGGGTTCTGGCTTTTCACTCAGGAATCACTCCTGGTGGTGCTCGGGGGACCATATGGGATGCTGGGAATCGAAACCAGGTCGGGCGCGTGCAAGGCAAACACCCTACCCACTGTGCTATTGCTCCGCCCCCCAAAATGATTCCTTTTTTAAGAAATCTTGAAGGTAAGGCTGGGAAATAGCTCTACAGACTGGGAAATACACTTTACATGCCAGAAGCCAGGGTTCAGTCCTTGACACAGCATGTTCTCCCAGCACTGCCAGGAGCAAAGCCCCCACCCCCAGCATTACCTCGTCTAACCCCAAAACCAAAACCAAATGAAACAAAACATGTAAACTAATACAAGTAGATATTTATTCAAGGAAAACCTTCTCTAAGGAGTTCTCCTGAAGACAATTCATGTGTGTAGACAGAGGAGAGAACACTCCTTCGCTGTTCATCCAGGCAAAATGTAAGAACTATTACTAAGCATTTGTCTCTGTCCTTTGTGGATTCAGAGTCCATTAATAAACAAGTAAAGATATGTCTTTAGTGCGAGAGAGAGAGAGAGAGAGAGAGAGAGAGAGAGAGAGAGAGAGAGAGAGAGAGAGAGAAAAGAGAGCTGAGAATTTTAAAAATTGCTGGAAGAGATGGATAATTATGGGGGCCCCGGAAGAGATGGATAGTATGGGGGCGGGTAGGACGCCTGCCTTGCAGGCATCAGATCAGATCAGGTTCCATCTTGGCAACCCCCAAGCACCACTAGGAGTGATCCATGAGCACAGAAACAGAAGTAAGCCAGAGCACAGCCTGGAGTGACCTAAAGAACAACAACAAAAGAAACTAAAGGATTTCAGGGACAAGATTTCAAAGGACTAGAGAGCTTGCTTTGCTTGGCTTCCCACACCCCCCCACCCCCCACCACCACACACCCCTGGGTGTGGCCCAAAAGGCTTTCAGGAGAGGTGTGTTTGGCTGAGAAAGTTGTTGAATGTGGCAAAAAGCCAGTTTGAGTGGAAAACTAGAGGGAGTGAGGTTGCAGAGGTAAAAAGGAGGATTGCTACATCATCAAGGGGATTATATGTCAGGCAAAAGATGACAGGGGAGCCCAACAATCAAGAAACATTGAAAAAATATATATTTTAAATTTTATTTGTTTTTGGGTTTGGGGCCACACCCAGTCATGCTCTGGCACTACTCCCTGCCTGCTGTTTAGGAGTCATCCCTGGTGGTGCTTGAGGGACCATAGAGATTCAGAGAACATACCCGAGCCTCTTGCATGCAAAGCATGTACTCCAGTCCTTTGAAGCATCTCCTCAGCCCAGGTTCAACCCCCCAGTATCCTATAAGGTCCCCTGAACATCGCCAGGAGTGATCCCCTGAGTGCAGAGCCAGGAGTCAGCCCTGAGCATTGCTAGGGTGTGGTCCCCAAACAAACAAACAAAATACTTCAATAAAAGAAAATTGTTTTATCTCGCCATCACTCATTAAATCCTTGTCTGAGGGTTTACTAGGCTGTTTGCTGCTGGTCAAGTCTTCTGTGTTTAGCTGAAGCACCAAAGAATCATACTTGGCCTGCTGCTGGGGAGTCTCAATTTTGTTTATTGAGCATCTTTGGCTTTTGTGTTACTTTCCTGTGGAATTTGGCATGCTCTAACAAGGATGTAAGTGTCACAGGGCCAGGCACTCCAGAAACTCCAGTATGTTTCTGGGCAGTGAGTTTACATGGCATTCATCTCTTCCAAGATTTAGCGGTGAGTCTGTAAAGCTGGACCAGTGGATGAGTTTACAGGCTCAGCAAATATGGGATGTGGGTGTGGCTGCCGGGGTTTCTGGAAGTATAAGGGGTTGAGGGAGGCTCCCCGCCCACATTCAAAGAAGACCCCAGAGTTTCCTCGGGGGAGAGGGACATATTTATATATTTCAGAATTTGGGCTGGAGCGATAGCACAGCGGTAGGGTGTTCGCCTTACAAGCGACCAACATGGCCGACCTGAGTTCGATTCCTCCGCCCCTCTTGGAGAGCCCAGCAAGCTACCGAGAGTATTCGATATG